AAAAAAATACAGGTAGAATTACCCACAATGGACTTTCCTTGCAAAGAATCCAAGTAGCTGGGTGTGCAGCTAGAGCGGTGCTAAGCAAGTTCAGAGAAGCAATATTAAGTTGTGTGGCTGATTAGTCAAGCCCTTTCCTTTCTTCCTTTCACCGTCCAACCCAGGGAAACTTCTAGCTTACACTTCCAACAACGTGGTTTTCCTCTTTCTGTTTAAAGCTTATTTTGAGCTTTGGCTATTGGTTTTATAGATATTGGGTAATGCTAGAGAGCAAAACATATCTCAGTGACTGAGCTAACATATGGAGCAGCTCAGGACAGCCACTTTCACTACAGTTCAGTAGCTTAGTGGTGTTCCTGAATACTCACCAAGAGCAAGTTTACTACGGCCATGCAGTAAGCGACCTGCTTTCCCCAGCAAACCAGTATTCTCCTTAGTTGCCAACTTTTGAGAAGCTTTATGAAGGGCCTGAGCTTTTCATAAAATTCAAAATATTTAGAACCTGCCCTTCCAACAAAAGGAAATAAAGTAACTCTGATTTTAAAGTATAAAAGCATCAGTTCGATGCTAAAATATTATGTTAGCATAACGTTGACTTCTGTTGGCGCTTATCAATACAAGGACAAGGAAACCATTTGAGTTGTTACATATGTATATATTCGTCAGGTTTTTCTACAGTCTCCCTAGGGGGACCCACAGCACAGATATTCTGCTCTTACCTTCCAACTAGTATCAGGGTTGTCCCTCTGAAGTTTAAAGTGCCTTTAAAAGAAAAGAGTTTAATGAGTGGTGGAAGTTTCAGTCTGTCCCTCCTTTGCCCCTTGCTAGCCTCCCTCTCCATCATTCATGAATTAGGTCCAGTTTCTATACCCCCATATTCTCTCCTTTCAGAATCTTGTCACTGTGAGCAGTTACCCTGGAGTGTGCACAGACTGCACGTGGGCAGTCACCAGTTACATGCACAACACACAGGAGTAAACAAGCCTTTTTACTACAGAGTCTGGCTTGTAAAGACCCTCCTCCCTAGAGGGTTCACTTTGACAGCAGCTCAAGCTCGCTAATGTTAAAAGTGGTCTCAACTAAGAAGATATACTTAGGCAACAGGTCTCCACATACTCTAGCATCATTTCTCGAACTGTTGTTGATACTCTCTCCCTGGAGTTATCATTCCAAATTAACTCAGGATTTTCATGAGTTCCCTCAAAGATGTGAACAGCAGCTTCAGGGTTATCTCTCATGGCATCCATGAAGACTCCAGGCAGAAATTTCATTAGCGTAATTCTAACCTAGAAAGGAGGAACAGCATAGTTAGCGTAAGACTTAGCTATAGTAAATAGTTATAGTCAATAACAGGTCTGAAGTCATACTACACATGGAAACCAAAGTGCTTATACTAGCTACAAGCAAGAAAATTGCTTCAAAAAAATCTGCTTGCATATTAATCACAAGGAAGTCAGTTTGCTCTTCACAGGAATGTTTCTCATGGAAGAGCTGTTTCCACACAGTCTTTAGAGAGAGGCTGCGAATGTCAAGATTACAGTTCCAACAAGCACGCTTAGGATTCTTACCTTTGGACCCACCAGCTTATCTGCAGTCATTTTGGCAAAAAGCTCTGCTGTCTGGGCTCTGACTTGGGGATGAGTTGAGTTACAAAACATATCTAATAAGTAGATTAAAGCACCTGTAGAAACATACAGAAATGTTCAGATTTTCTTATGATCTTGAGTCATAGAAAATCAGATTCTATGCTGTTTTAAAGACAAGTTTTGGCCACTAACCAGTATTGTCAAAAAATGTAACTTCTGATTTATTACTATACCTTTTGCCATGGCTTCTTTAATTATTTTTGTGCTAGATGTTAAAGCATATAAAGTTTCAAGAACAAGTTGCCGACCTGTCAAAATAAACAAGAAAAACTTCAAGAACTATATCTGCCATATACATGATGAATCGATCAAAGATAAACTAAACCAGTCATTTTAGCAGAACACTGCACTAAAATAATAAAATAAGAAGGTCTGGTCAGAAGTACATACACTAAGAATGAGCAGTTTATGGATTTCTGGCTAAGTTAAGTTAGGTGAGGCAGGTTAAAGAGCATCCAATCATACAATCTAGTCAGACATTGCTTGTTTAGAGAATTTAGGCAGTCAATACTCAGTAAGTAGTCCATGATCTGCTAGGCAAATCTTCCCAACTCAACCTTTTCAGCTCGTACCTAAGACTATGAATTGGTCATGTAAAATAGCTTCCTGATCATCCCCATTGAAACCCTTTTACACAAAAATTAGCAAGAAAGCTCAATCAGCTGCATTCTAAGGAGTTTTGTGAGCTGAAAACCTGTTGCCATGCAAGACCAAAGAACTACATGGTACATACTTGAAGGCAGGGAATGCAGGAGGGCCAGCAAGTTGGAAAGAACCATTGCCTCAGCAATGTTGTTAACACATTCTTGGTTACTGGTTACTATGTTCACTACCTGTAAGAGATGAGGAACAGGAGTTAACTGTATTGTAACTGTTACACCACAATCAAGACAACATAGTATGCAGTGAAGAAATCAGTCTTGTTAGTCAACATAACTACGCTTATTCCTGCTACAAAGCTGACTTATTCCCTTATCTGCCTGAGAGCACAAAAGACACAGGCACGAGGCTATCATTTTGTTCCTCAAGGGAGAAGCTGCCTGACACCAGGAAACCTCCATCTGGACTGTCTGTAGGTGCCACTCGGCAGTTACACAGTTATAGTGTGTACACCAAATCCATGATATTCTTTCTTTTACCTCCAGAGCCAACTGCTGCACCAGGCCAGCTCCATGGACACGCAGAAGGGAAAATATCAACTTAAAGTGACCTATGCATTCACATTCAGAACCTGCAAAAGACCAAATAAGTTATTCTCATATTAGCAAAAACATTTGCTGAAGGTCATTCCAAGTCCACATCTGGCTGCATAGGAGGTACTAGAGATGTCTGCATGCAGTCTGGCACAGCAATTGCAACAGCTCCCACAACAGAGTTAGAAGATTAAATTCTGTGCAGAAGCTACACTAACAGGCATTCTCAAGGCCAAGAGTATTTTGGAATTTCTTGCTTTCTCCAAGGCAATTAACTAAGCCAATTGTTCTTGTTTTTCCAAGATAACCGCAAGTCTGATTATCTAACATTAGCTGCCAGTACTGCTTGTCTCTAGAGACAATTCCCCTGTTTCCAATTCGCAGTTCAGAGGCAGGTTACTATCTGTACCTTATCTGCTCATAGGTCTCTGCACTCTTAAGAGCATCTTCTCCTTTCATGAGGTTCTGAGGAAAGTATTTACTAGTATACAGTTGAAGGGGCTTCTTTGATGCAAAAAAAAAAAAAAAAAAA